TTATGCTAAATTTTAAGGTTCAACTCCTGTAATTGCTATGTTCTGATTTAATAGATTGTTTAATTGCCATCTCTGGGCTTAATTGTTAGCTTGATGCTGAATCAGTAACTACCTGGGTTCTCGTTTCACTGCTTGTTTGATGTGCTGGAAATTGAATTTCTCTAAGTGGTTTGCCCTGGTGTTTAATTTGTGCAGGAACTCAGTAATTCGTTTTTCTTGTTATTAAAATGTTCAGCACATCGTTATTTTGTCCATAAATCTTGAATATGGAACTTATATTGCTGGTAACACATCTAAAAATTCACCTGACCGTTTGTACGATATGGAGATCTTGACGTTGTCTATGCTAAAATGAATTTTCTAATATTGACTTAAATCCAACACTCTTTCCATTTGCTAATTGTTGTATATATTTGGGATGCTGTGTTTTAAATTCAGGAATTAAGTAATTGTGATAAATAAAAGCTTGTATAGCTTGTTTTGTTGTTAAGATGATTAGGGTGTATATATATATATATATATATATATACTGCACCCCTTCTGTTCTATGCAGAATTTATATTATGGAATTAGTTCATTTGGATGGCTGCGATGAACATTAACTTGACATTTCTAAGGTGTATGACTTATGGAAGTGAAATTGAATCTCAGCTATTTTAAAGTGCATTGATCTGACGGTCAAAAAATTTTGTTGTAAAGATGATATGTTGGCTGATAATTGTACCTTCTGGCTTTTCTGTTATGCGACTGTGAGGATGATCACCTTGTTGACATGTCTGTACTCTATCAAGGGACTGACCAATTGGCTATCTGCAAGCTTGTTTGACAGTTTTTTCTGTCAAATTATTTGATAATTGTTATGCTTATGTTGAAGAGATGATGGACCTAGTAGGCTTAATACAATGTAATTTCTTGATTCTTGAACTTAGTGGGGGATTGCATGTGAGTAAATATTTTTATTTGTATAATTTTTTAATCTTGTGGACAATGTTTGTTTAACCATCAAAAGACATGGAGTTTAGTTTTCTTGATTGGGCTAGAAAAAGCGTTACTGTACAATCTTGACTGGTAGAAAAAAAATTGCTTTGAGGCCTTTTCTTGGTTTTAAAATATATTATTTAAGAAGTTTTTGTATTGCTTTTTTCCTTTTTTGCTGTGTTCTCTGACATTTGAACTGTTATTTTATTCCTCAGATTCCAGAAGAGGAGAAAAACTTTGGTCCTCATGATCGACTGATTCATGTTTATCATTTTACGAAAGACACAGCTCAAAACCAAGTGGTAAGTTCATTGATATTTTTGTTTGTTTTGACCGAACTGAATTCATTTATAAGTAATAGTTTGCTATGATAATTATTATTGATCACTTGGTGAACTGTTTTCTCTCTCCTCTCTTGTTCATTTTTTCATGCTTGTATTCCTTTAACAGCAGGTTCAAAATTTTGGGGAACCATTTTTCCTTGTTATTCGTGAGGGTGAAACATTAGCGGAAGTTAAAGTGCGGATTCAGAAGAAGTTACAGGTTCCAGATGAAGAATTCTCAAAGGTATTTTCTCTCTCTGTGCATTACTCTGGTTTCATACTTAGCAGAGGAATTACGAGGAACTGAATTCTGTATGTTGTGTACTTGTATTCCCAACATAACTGGAATTTTGTTTTATCTGTGTCAGTTACCTGGCTGTTTTATTCCAAATGCCCTCTTCTCCATAGTTTAACAGACATTAACTCTCTCCTTTTTGGTTCCCTTACTAATTTGTTTTCAGTGGAAGTTTGCATTTTTGTCACTGGGTCGACCTGAGTATCTTCAGGACTCTGACATTGTATCCAGTCGTTTTCAGGTTTGTTTACTGTTACCTTTACCATTTTCTTCTCAGTTTGTTCTGTTGTCTAGTATATGAACTATCATGTTTTGTTATCATAATTTTAGCGAAGGGATGTTTATGGTGCTTGGGAGCAGTATCTTGGATTAGAGCACACAGACAATGCCCCTAAGAGGTCATATGCAGCCAATCAGGTACAAATGACTTGAATCATCATTTGCTTAATTATTTAATAATTTGTGGCAGGGAGTCTGTGATCAATGGTAAACATGCTAGGTTCCTTATCTATATGGTGCTGGAATTCTTTTCCTGTTTGAATCATCATTGAGAAAACATTAATTATAGAATTGAAGGTTTAGGAGCTTTTTTTTTGCGGGGTTTGGTCTATGGTCAAAATTCTGTGGTGTGGACAACAGCCACAACCAAGAAAAGACTAAAGAAGTTGAATTGTGTGGGAGATCATATATTTATGTGGATTTTGTGTGTTGACTTAACGTCAATTTTGCAGAACCGTCATGCGTTCGAGAAGCCAGTAAAAATCTACAATTAGGATAGAAGATTTACAACTAGGGCGTCGGACAGATTCTATTTCCCAGCGGCATTTTCAGCTTTGTGAAAAGAGCTGAGAAACCAGAACGGAGTTTGTAGTCTATCACGGCAAAAGACAATTACCGATTACATTCCCATGTGTGATTCTTTCAGAAGTTTGGGGGGAGCCCAGAACTTAAATGATGGTGCAGATATAGGTTGGACGTCCTTTCTCACACCCATCTCTGGGGTGAGTAGTAGGTTACATTGAAGGGTTTAATTTTAATTGTAGTTTAGTACATAAGATTTTGTGGCGGGGGTTGTATAGAGGGTATAGTTGTGTGTTGAAATTGTGGTCGTTGTTCTTACTTTTAATCTGAATCTCCCTTCGTGGTTTTTATTAGATTTGGTAGAGGGAATATGGGGAGAAGGTCTGTATAATTGTCTGTCTTCTGTTTTTTGGGCTTTCCAGGATTTGTGCATTAGATTATCCAGCAGCAGCTTTATCTGAATTTGTGTCTTTTTTTTTTTTTTTTTTTTTTTTTTTTTTTTTTTTTGTAAATTGGTTAAACTTAGTATCTTAATTGTGAAACTTGTAGGGTACAAAATAATACTCGACTTTATGAATGAAATTCAGATAAAAAGAAAAAAGCTGTTTGCAAATTTTTAATTAATGTTTTAATAATCATTAACCAACCCTACTCTCGGGTCTCGGGTCGGGTTGACCGGTCAAACCGGATGATACAACTTTTAAAATTTAGCAAATACACCCCCTAAATTAAGTTAAGTCTTTATATGTTTGAAATTTAGCAAACACATCCTTAATACAAATCAGTCAATGATTGGTTGGCGGTAGTGACACCCCAAATCCAAAATCAATCATCCCTCGAGCCCATTCCCCCCAAAAATCTACCCAATATCTGGTGAAATCAGTTTGATTTCGATTAGATTTTACCAATGTTGGCGTCGATATTCTAGGTCAGTGGCTCACTGACATCGACGTTGACAATCTTTTCCATCATTTGAAAAATACTCCTCTTTTTTTTGATCAAAACCCATCTAACCCTCACCCTCGTTAGCCTTGTCAATTGTTGGCATAAGTCGGTTGTTGTCGTTGTTAGTTTTTTATTTTGGGTTGATTCATTAATAGGAAATTAACTTTGTTACCATCATTGCATTCATTAACATTCTTTTTAAAAGTCTCAACATTATGGCTTTTAGTTGTTCGTCGATTATCATTCCAAATTCTAGGGTTTTTGGTGAATAGGAAAAATGTTAAACCGGTGCGGTGCTCTAGAGTCCTTGTTAAATTGGCCGGGTCGAGCTGGGTTAAGATAAAAGTTACTGCATAAAAGCAATGTTTTAAAACCTAATCTGAGGTGAAACCCGACAAAGTTTTCGAGTCCTGGGTTGACTGGTAGTCAAACTGGTTGACAAACACTTTTTAAATTCAGCAAATACACCCCTAAAAGTTTTTTAAGTCCCTATAGGTTTGAAATTTAGTAAACACACCCCAAATCCAAATCGGCCAGCGATTGGTTGGCGGCGATGACACCCTAGATGCAACCTCATTCATCCCTTGAGTTCATTCCCCTTAAAATATACCCAAGATCTGGTCGAAATAGATTCGATTTCGATCAGATCTCACCGACACCGGTGTCAACATTCCAGGCCATATCTTATTGACGCCGGCGTCGACAATCCTTCCTATCACCCAAAAATTACTCTCCTCTTCCTCCCAACCAAAACCCACCTCACCCCGCCCCACCCCCGTTAGCCTAGCCAATCGCTAGCAAAAGCCGGTTGTTGTCGCTGCCAGTTTTGTTGGATTTTTGGTCTATTTACTTGCTAGAAATCAACGCCGTCACCACCATTGCATTCACTGACACTTTCTTTTCAAAAGCCCCAACATTCCGACCATCAATTGTTCGTCGATCATCCTCCCAAATCTTAAGGTTTTGGGTGAATAAGAAAAATATAAAACCGACCTGTTGAAGCTTCTAGGTCCCGGTTAAATCGGCTAGGCCGGGCCAGGTTTTAAAACATTGCATAAAAGAGAAAGTTAGAGAACACAAATGGACATTCTTTATTCAGCAATTCCACAATACCCAAAAAAAGATTATTCAGTTAATTAAGCATATGATTTCTTAGCAGGATAGTCAATATCATAGAGCACTTTTGCCCTAAGATTCCTTCGCTCATCCTTTCCAAATTCTTCTCATAATAACGCCAACTTAACGTAACAAATAATAATGGTCGGCCGGTTAACGTTACTCTTTTATCAACCTTTGAATTAGTTAGTATGGACCATTTACACAAATAATTATATGAATATGATGTGATTGCTCTTATTTGACTCATTCTAAAACAACCAAACGTGTCATTATTTTATACCAACAACCTTATGTGAATCTCCACGGTCCACACAACACATTAATGATCCAAACAAACAACAGCCTCTCCCTTCTCCTTTTAATTTCCTTTTTGGCCACAAATAACTATGTCTAAATTGTTTTTCGCATTAAAAATACAATTTGTTTGCTGCCTAAAGCATACTATAAACATGTTTAATACTTAATACCTCCTCAGAAAACATTTACTAAAATTATTAAAAAATAAAAATAAAAATTGGTTTCTTCCCATTTCCCCAATATTGCAAGTTTCAGTCGGGCTTTAGTTTCAAACTCGTGCTTGCAAAGCAAAGTGGAGAGATTTCTGGATTATTAACAAAATTCAAAAATCAAAACAATTTATGGAAAATGTATTCAGTGTTTTCATTTTCAGAATTCTTTTACTCTAAAAACGCTAATTTTATTTTTTATTTTTAACTTTTGACAAGACAATTCCTTAAATTCTTCAAACATTTGCACGTCTCTTCATCTCTTTAAAGCTTTTCCCATATGTAAAATAAATTTCATTCACTCAAAAAAAGAAAGAGAAAATTAACGAAAAGCCATGTTTCTGAGTTGTGTTACTTTCCCACCACCACCTTCCATCTTCATGACAGCCATGTCAGTGGTGAGTGTGGTGTCAATGGCGAACGGAGGCTACTCTGAAACCGTGGGAAAGCATATGCAATATTCCAAGTTTTGGAACGTTAACTCTGAGAAATCTGCGGCAAAACAGGCTAAAGTTTCGAGCAGAAACGGGATGCTTATGCTTTATACGCCTGCCTTTTTTGCGGGTCTTTCTTCTTTCTGGCTCTTTCCTGATGACGGTTTCAGGTTTCTTTTGCTTAAGTCTGCTCTCACCTTCCATTTCTTCAAAAGAATCTTTGAGGTAATGCATACATGTTAACGTTTCTTAATATCATTATTGTTACTTCTTTTGGTTTCTTCTTTATTTGCTTTACATGCATGACTAAAATGGTCTTCGTTTTTTGTAGAAATTAATAACTTTTTTTTTTCAACATTAATTTGATGGGATCAGTCGGAATTAACTAATATTTTTGAAGGTTTTATTTGATTATTGTTACCTGAGAATTTTAGTCATATTTTTGGCTCAAGAAAAACTAAGTAGAGTCCGATTTGATATTAATTTTAGTGTTATAAATTGAATGATAATAATGAGTTTAATTTTTTTTTTTTTTTAATCTCGCATTCAATTTACAGTACGTGATAATTTTCTCAGAACCCAAACAAGAGTACTGGAAAAGAGTTTTGTACTTTTGTTATGTTCTCTATATTATAATTCATATTTTATTGCAAGTTAAGATTCAATAAATGGTATAAAATTATGATGTTTGAGATAGAAAATCCTTATTCTATGGATTTTTCATATTGTAAGTTAGATATATGTTTGGATAATGTTATTGAGTCGATAACATAATCAAATTCAGATAAAAGGGTACTGTTCTTAGTATTTTTGGAATACAAACATCGACAAGAATGGCCTCAGCGACATTGATGTTCAGCACACCCACCAAGTTGAAAAAACTTTTTTTTTTTTTGTACAGGTATTGTTCATTCATAAATATAGTGGCGCGATGACTCTTGACTCTGCAATTGTTATCACTCTAAGTTACTTCATATCAACTTCAACCATGATCTATAATCAACACTTATCACAAGGATTACCAGAGCCATCAATTGATTTGAAGTATTTTGGGATGATTGTGTTCTTGTTGGGAATAATTGGTAACTTCTACCATCATTTCCTCCTCTCAAAAATGAGAAAAGATGGTGAAAAACAATACAAAATTCCCAAGGGAGGTTTATTTGACAAAGTAGTATGCCCACATTATCTATTTGAGATATTAGTGTTCTGGGGATTTGCTTTTATTTCTCAAACTTTTTATGCATTCTCATTTGCTCTAGGCACAAGTTTTTACTTGATGGGAAGGAGCTTTGCCACTAGGAATTGGTACCTTACCAAATTTGAGAATTTCCCAAAAGATGTCAAGGCAGTCTTTCCATATTTGTTGTAAAATGAAAATTTATTTTATCATGCTTCAAAGATGATGTATACATTATTAATTTCAACTCAAAAATTACAATATCTTTTCTAAACACTGTTAATCGATTATCTCTAATCTTCCTTTTCGTTTTTGTTTTCCATTTTCTTCCTGTACATAGACAAGATGTGCATACGTTTTATAGAAAAAAAAATCATCAACGAAATTTAATGGAGAAATTTTTGAAGAGAAGCTGAGAAATCTGAGAAATTTTAGTAGAGAAACTGAGAAAGAGAATAATCTGAGAAACAGAGAAAGGAAATCGATGGAATGGGTTGTGGTAGTGCGATTGGGTAGGGTTGGGGGTTTTGAAATCAGGCCGGTTTATCCGGCGGTCCGGTTGGACCAGCGGTTCATTGACTTTATCTGGGTTTTGACCGGGCTAACGCGGTTTAATGTATAATGACGGTTTTAATGTTGACTCGGACCGGATACGTGACCGGTTCCCGGTTCAATCGGTTGGACTGGCCGGTCCGGTCCGGTTTTTAAAACAGTGCCCTTAATACAAATCAGCCAATGATTGGTTGGCGATAGTGACATCCCAAATCTAAAATCAATCGTCTCTCAAGCCCATTCCCCAAAAAATCTACCCAAGATTTGGTGAAATGAGTTTGATTTCGATCAGATTTTACCAACGTTGGCATCGACATTCTAGGTTAGTGGCTCATTGACATCGGCGTTGACAATCTTTTTCATCATTCGAAAAATACTCTCCTCTTTCTTCTGATCAAAACCTATCTCACCCTTAGCCTTGTTAATTGCTGGCAAAAGTCGGTTGTTGTCGTTGTTAGTTTTTATTTTTTTATTTTGGGTTGATTTATTCATAAGAAATCAACTTTGTTACCATTATTGCACTCACTGACACCCCCTTTAAAAGTCTCAACATTCTGGCCTTTAGTTGTTCGTTGATTATCACCCCAAATTCTAGGGTTTTTGGTGAATAGGAAAAATGTTAAACCGGTGTGGTGAAGCTCTTGAGTCCTTGTTAAATTGGTCGGGCCGGGCTGGGTTTTTAAAACAGTGTTTTCAATTTGCTAATACAAGTTATGTTTGATGTAAGCCCAAATAGAATCGACCTTGTTGGGCATGAGGTTAGGTCCATTAGCTAAAAATCTTAGGGTCTTAATATATGTGGATATTTTAGTATTTTAACACTTCAAATTTATATAATAAAAGCTTTTCTTTTAAGTTTTTGGTTCTTAAGTAGAGTGGCTTAAATTTAAAGTATTCTGAGTTACATGGCATAATTTAGGTATGAATATGATAACAAGTCGGTGGTTGTGTTGAAAGATAAAAGTTATTGCATAAAAACAATGTTTTAAAACCTAATCTAAGGTGAAACCTGGCAAAGTTTTCGGGTCCTGGGTTGACCGACAGTCAAACTGGTTGACAAAAACTTTTTAAATTTAGCAAATACACCCCTAAAAATTATTTGAAGTCCCTATAGGTTTAAAATTTAGCAAATACACTCCAAATACAACTAGGCTAGTGACTAGTTGGCGGCGGCGACACCCTAGATGCAACCCCAATCGTCCATTGAGTTCATTCCCCTTAAAATATACTCAAGATCTGGTCGAAATAGGTTCGATTTCGACCAGATCTCACCGACACCGGCGTTGGCATTCCAGGCCATATCTCATTGACGCCGGTGTCGAAAACGCTCCCCATCACCTAGAAAGTACTCTCCTCTTCCTCCCGATCAAAACCCACCTCACCCCATCCCCGTTAACCTCGCCAATCGCTAGTAAAAGCCGGTTGTTGCCACTGCTAGTTTTGTTGGATTTTCGGTCTATTTACTTACCAGAAATCAACGTCGTCACTAGCATTGCATTCACCGACACTTTCTCTTTAAAAGCCCCAACATCTCGACCATCAATTGTTCGTCGATCATCCTCCCAAATCCTAGTGTTTTGGATGAATAAGAAAAATATAAACCAGATCCGTTAAAGCTTCTGGGTCTTGGTTAAACCGGTTAGGCCGCGTCGGGTTTTAAAACATTGCATAAAAGAGAAAGTTAGAGAACACAAATGGACATTCTTTATTCAGCAATTCCACAATACCCAAAAACAAGATTTTTCAGTTAATTAAACATATGATTTCTTAGCTAGATAGTCAATATCATAGAGCACTTTTGCCCTAAGATTCCTTCGCTCATCCTTTCCAAATTCTTCTCATAATAACGCCAACATAACGTAACAAATAATAATAATAGTCGGCTGGTTAACGTTACTCTTTTATCAACCTTTGAATTAGTTAGTATGGACCATTTACACAAATAATTATATGAATATGATGTGATTGCTCTTATTTGACTCATTCTAAAACAACCAAACGTGTCATTATTTTATACCAACAACCTTATGTGAATCTCCACGGTCCACACAACACATTAATGATCCAAACAAACAACAGCCTCTCCCTTCTCCTTTTAATTTCCTTTTTGGCCACAAATAACTATGTCTAAATTGTTTTTCGCATTAAAAATACAATTTGTTTGCTGCCTAAAGCATACTATAAACATGTTTAATACTTAATACCTCCTCAGAAAACATTTACTAAAATTATTAAAAAATAAAAATAAAAATTGGTTTCTTCCCATTTCCCCAATATTGCAAGTTTCAGTCGGGCTTTAGTTTCAAACTCGTGCTTGCAAAGCAAAGTGGAGAGATTTCTGGATTATTAACAAAATTCAAAAATCAAAACAATTTATGGAAAATGTATTCAGTGTTTTCATTTTCAGAATTCTTTTACTCTAAAAACGCTAATTTTATTTTTTATTTTTAACTTTTGAAAAGACAATTCCTTAAATTCTTCAAACATTTGTACGTCGCTTCATCTCTTTAAAGCTTTTCCCATATGTAAAACAAATTTCATTCACTCAAAAAAAGAAAGAGAAAATTAACGAAAAGCCATGTTTCTGAGTTGTGTTATTTTCCCACCACCACCTTCCATCTTCATGACAGCCATGTCTGTGGTGAGTGTGGTGTCAATGGCGAACGGAGGCTACTCTGAAACCGTGGGAAAGCATATGCAATATTCCAAGTTTTGGAACGTTAACTCTGAGAAATCTGCGGCAAAACAGGCTAAAGTTTCGAGCAGAAACGGGATGCTTATGCTTTATACGCCTGCCTTTTTTGCCGGTCTTTCTTCTTTCTGGCTCTTTCCTGATGACGGCTTCAGGTTTCTTTTGCTTAAGTCTGCTCTCACCTTCCATTTCTTCAAAAGAATCTTTGAGGTAATGCATACATGTTAACGTTTCTTAATATCATTATTGTTACTTCTTTTGGTTTCTTCTTTATTTGCTTTACATGCATGAATAAAATGGTCTTCGTCTTTTGTAGAAATTAATAACTTTTTTTTTTCAACATTAATTTGATGGGATCAGTCGGAATTAACTAATATTTTTGAAGTTTTTATTTGATTATTGTTACCTGAGAATTTTAGTCATATTTTTGGCTCAAGAAAAACTAAGTAGAGTCCGATTTGATATTAATTTTAGTGTCATCAATTGAATGCTAATAACGAGTTTAATTTCTATTTGTTTTTAATCTCGCATTCAATTTACAGTATGTGATAATTTTCTCAGAACCCAAACAAGAGTACTGGAAAAGAGTTTTGTACTTTTGTTATGTTCTCTATATTATAATTCATATTTTATTGCAAGTTAAGATTCAATAAATGGTATAAAATTATGATGTTTGAGATAGAAAATCCTTATTCTATGGATTTTTCATATTGTAAGTTAGATATATGTTTGGATAATGTTATTGAGTCGATAACATAATCAAATTCAGATAAAAGGGTACTGTTCTTAGTATTTTTGGAATACAAACATCGACAAGAATGGCCTCAGCGACATTGATGTTCAGCACACCCACCAAGTTGAAAAAACTTTTTTTTTTTTTTGTACAGGTATTGTTCATTCATAAATATAGTGGCGCGATGACTCTTGACTCTGCAATTGTTATCACTCTAAGCTACTTCATATCAACTTCAACCATGATCTATAATCAACACTTATCACAAGGATTACCAGAGCCATCAATTGATTTGAAGTATTTTGGGATGATTGTGTTCTTGTTGGGAATAATTGGTAACTTCTACCATCATTTCCTCCTCTCAAAAATGAGAATAGATGGTGAAAAACAATACAAAATTCCCAAGGGAGGTTTATTTGACAAAGTAGTATGCCCACATTATCTATTTGAGATATTAGTGTTCTGGGGATTTGCTTTTATTTCTCAAACTTTTTATGCATTCTCATTTGCTCTAGGCACAAGTTTTTACTTGATGGGAAGGAGCTTTGCCACTAGGAATTGGTACCTTACCAAATTTGAGAATTTCCCAAAAGATGTCAAGGCAGTCTTTCCATATTTGTTGTAAAATGAAAATTTATTTTATCATGCTTCAAAGATGATGTATACATTATTAATTTTAACTCAAAAATTACAATATCTTTTCTAATGTTTGATTTTTCTAGTGTATTTGTCACTACAAGTTTGCATTCAAATGGTTGCTTCAAAGATGATGTATACGTTATTAATTTCAACTCATCAACTCAAAAATTAACAATATCCTTTCTATGTTTGATTTTTTCTAGTATATTTGTCATTGCAAGTTTGCATTCAAATGGTTTCATCTTGGATTCAATCATATATATAACGATCGGAGCTGTCCCGGTCAACTTTCGCGTCGGATAAGAACTCTAGTAGTTACCTTTATTAGAAATCGAGAAGGGACTTGAAATCAAAACCTCTTAAATAATACACCCAAGAGTTCCTATCGAATCACTCAACCATCCAAAAGTATTTTACATGTTATATCTCACATCGTTTACAAGTGACAAACAGGTTTAATTTATAAATTTTACGTCTTTCCACTAAGTAGATGGATATTGAGTGAAAAACGCTAACATGAAATCCAAAACCAGACTTCAAATTAACAGAACACCAACCAGAATAATCAAGTATGACCAACATTTTTATGTTAATTTATAACCACAAAAATCTTGCTTCCGAACTGAGATCAAAAGCTTCAACTCAATTCTAAGTGGGTCACTTTGACCCATATAAAACTTGTATATCTATCAAAAAAAAAAAAAAAAAAAAATCCCCTTCCCTCTGAATAAAAGTGTTTACAGAACTATGTAATATGTATAGTTTCCTAACACAATAGCAATCCTACTACAAGCTTTCATCTAACATTGGCCGAAAGTGTGTGCAATGCAGATTCGATCAGACTTCCCAGCTTGCCTCTCAAGCTGGAACCAGTGTTCTTTAACGTTTCATCAAAACTCATCTCGTCTTCAAGTTGCAGTTGCTGGAGATGCCGCTCCAAGTACCTATGAAGACTGGCCTCAGCGACATTGATGATACTGAGAAAAGCATTTGTGTGCATAAACTTTGTAATAAGAAATCCGGCTAGAATCTGCTGATCTGCCTTCACAAGCTCTGATATGAAACAGGGAAAGAGGATTTTTCTAAAAAGAAGCAAGTCTTCGGCAATGTTTCCACTTTTGTTTCTTCCTCCCTTTGTTTGTCGTATTATCTGGGCTTCTTGAAGCTGGCGAGAGAAATTTCCAACCAAGTAACACAGATAAGAGAAAATTGTGCCATAAGAAGATTTAGTGATGATAGTTGATATAACCCCAGAAGATAACACAAGCATTAATAACTCGTGGTCTCGGCCAATTGTATCGGAGATGCCTCCTTGTTTCAACTTCTCTTCAACTACATTTAGAGCCTGCAACCAGATGGCTTCATAAGGCAATAAAAGCACCAGTTTCAGAGCTGAGAAACAATCCACACCGAGTAGAATTTCATTCAAGCTTCTGGCATCATCTTCATCCAGCAAAATTCCATTAGATGTTGATAAGGAATGGTCAATCAGTCTCAACACATCTTTACACCGTGCCACTGTTATGAATTTTTTGAAAATCTCCACCCAACATGCATGCAAAGGATGAACAGTAAGGGAGTTTTCTTTCTTTTTCTTCTCGACAGGTTCTACTTCCTGAAAACTTTCCCATCCTTCTTCCCAATCATCACTGTTCCAGTTGTTTTCAGCAGTGGATGCTTCTTCGGCAGCTACTTCATCTCTAATTACAAAGAGTCCTTCCCACTCTTCCAAAATGGTTACCAAAGAATCGAAATGAGGATCTATACTGGCAGCTCCACACAACTTAGAGAAGCAGGAGGCAGCTGTATCGACATTGAGTAGATCATCAGGCGTTATTTCTATGCTTGGTGAGATAGCTGCCACAAGTTGAGTAGATTTGAGGGCAACCAAAGTATTCGTAAACCTGCTAGAAGTATCTGTTTGCTCTGACAACCCCGAATTGGCAGTGGTTTCACTTGTTTTACTTGTAGTGAGCAGCTCATCCCACCCTTCCCAAGGAAGAACATTGGATTGTAGTTCAGAAGGGAAACCTTTGATGTTTCTACCTGTGATAGATTGCAAAAGTTCAAGGGCATAAACTCGAACATTACTTGGTAACTGCAAATTATCAGAGAATTTGGCCACTCTCTCCCAAACTACATGCCTGACCCTCTTCAGCTCATCAAAATCACCCTCCAATTTACTTAGAGAAGACAACAAATGATACAAATTATGGTGATCAAGGGATCCATTAATCAGATCTTGTAAAATGGGCTCCAACATATCTAAATATAGATGGGGAAGATCTTGAAATTTAGAGTCAGCAGTTTTTAAACTGCATTCTGACACTGCGTTGAAAAAAACCTCTGAAATGGCTCCAAACCCACAACCAGAAAATACCATGGCTCTGCAGAATATGAAAATTTCACTAGCAAAGTCTCCAATTAAACCATGAGTAACATAGCTGATAATGGTGCCCCAGCCCTGACTCGGTGAGATGCTGTCTTCCATCACCAATTTCATCAAAACCTTTAAGAAGCTCAACAAGCACTCTGGATTAAACCTGGGATCTTCTACTGAACTTTCACTGGACGTAATTTCTTGCACTTCTTCAGTCAATCTGATCCAGAAGTTCAAAAGTAGGATGAGGCACTCCTGCCATGTTGAGTTATCTGGTATACTCCTAGAAGAGCCATATAATGGTATAATCACATTAAAGTACCGCTTCATTGTATCCAAACAAGCTGAAGGTGCCAAAAGTCTCATATACATTCTGCAACGATCGTAGGTCTGCTCAAGTTGATTGATTAAGCCCAGAAAACTTTCAGGTCTTTCATTATTAAAATCTGCTCTAGCACTACTCTCCAAATTTGTCAACAAACTCAGTGCATAATATTTGTAAACATCCTGGCATGATATGAGACCCTCAGGCACTGAATCAGTATAAATACTGACCAGTGTTTGCACCATACTTGCCAAGGCTTCCAAGCAAGATTCACTTATGTGCGCATAGATTTCGTTGCTGAAATCCTGCAAATTTAAACCACCTAATCCAGCAATGTTTTTGAAATTCAAATTCTTAATAAAGGAAACTCTTCTGCATTCCTGCTCAATGACTCTGTAGAAATTAGCCAACTTAAAATTAGATGCACGTGCCGGATCTGGGTTAAAGTCTGGTAAAGATTTTTTGGCTGCCTCCAACTGCAAGTAGCAATCGGAGAGAAGGTCAAATATGAAAGCAAGGCGCTGTTTGTTGCATCCATCAACTGCAGGGTATACAACCAAGGTTATAGTGTTGATAGTTTCTGTAGCATGACCAAGTATTTCTTCTCTGACGCCTGCAATCTCAGCAATTATATCATCATCAGTCCAAACTTCAGAAACAAGAATAGAACTTAAGTAGTGTTGCAAGACCTGCAAGAAAAACAAAGAAAACTATATCATTTATCAGGCAAACTTTCAAATATCCTTTTCATTTGTAATTTTATACTTCATAGTACACGCGATCCCACGGACCTCATTGCGATTCAAGCCATAGGTCTCTACCAATTTCAATACATTATTTAAAATGGGTTTCTTCTCCAACTTTACTGATTCAACCAGAGAGAAAACAACACTCTCAATGTATTTGATATCACCAGACAAAAAGCGTGCAGTTTCCACTCCAGGAATTATTTGCTCTAACAATCTAGAACGATCTGCCACACACTTTTTTTCTTCTAATTTAAGTTTCCATTCCCGCCAGAAAGTAGATTGTACTTTGTCAATCTTGTTTAGTTCACCTGAACACAAGAGGTAACCCAAGAAACATATCAACTCATCATCATGTGTAAAAACATAATGCATGGCTCTTAGCATTTCTATGTAACATAAGGGATGCTGATTATGATGATTCTGGATAGCATATAAAAAAACATGAAGTCTAAAGTTCAAGAGTCAGGAAAATAACTAAAACCAATCACCAGAATTGAGTGATGTGTGCTTCTCTTTAAACTTCCTCCGTAGCAGCTCTCTCCTCTGAAAAGGGCCCTCACATTCAATTCCAGAGTTGTGTAATGAACTATATGTCAAACCCACATTCATTATGCTACAAATTTCTTGGTAGCTTTCCCTTACTCTCAACTGTTCTTCTATCACTTCTACCCCATTAACAGTGTCCACAAGATTCAACAGGAAGGAGCAGCCTAAAATGTCTTCCTCTTCAGAAGCAGGTGGTTCTAAAATTGATTTTGCCAGAGCCGCAATCAGGTCATCTCTGGGAGCAAAACCATTCCTGGCCAACCAGGATAGAACAGTTACCAAAGATTGTGTTCTTACACTCACATACTGCTTTCCAGGAAATAAGCCATGAGTCATTTTCTTACTATATTCTGCTTTCCTACTCAATTCAAGCAACCATGGAAGTTGTAAAGCAGCGAAGGACAAAATTTTTCCATTTTCCCTTAAAAGCAATTCCCAGTTGACCCCAGCCTCAACAGGCAAGTTTTTGGCAACAATGGTAAGAGTATTTTTGATATTATTCAGATGAACTTCCTGATCGTCACTGCTGACCCCTTCAACCAGTTCAGAGCAATCTTTTAGGTTAACTATATCTTGAACACTGTAGCCTGGAAGTGAAATAACCGAGGAACCTTGGACTGAGAAGTTGGGTGAATTTGTTCCTGTCAATGTCATTAAAGTCTCACACTGACCTTGCATGTCCAAATCTTTCCAGGCATGGAGCAGCTCACCTATTGATTCTGGATCACAATGGCTCAAAGCAAAACCTAGTAGCTGCTTTCGAGAATTTATGTCCATATTTTCAAGGGCAGGACCCCTTGCTATTGCAGCACATAAATCCCAAATGAGACCATGTCCTTTTTTTGCCAAAACAAGGCAGAGATCAAATGCCAATTGCAGATCACCAGCAACTGCAGCTTCTCTAGCAATAGCTTCCTCAACAGCTGATATATCTTCAGGGGAATTCAATCCAAGAAGTTTGGCGACCTCAATGAGTTCGTCAACATGTAGATAAGCTCCACCTTGGTTCGTTATTGCCGTTTTAATGACCTCCATTGGATCCTTT